CACTGTTGTTCCAAGGTTGAGTATGCATCAATGTTTATCTCTGTCCCTTTTAGCCCATGCAAACCTTTCTCAGTGGCATCAATTCCATTCCGACTCCTAGTAACCCTCCAGGACAGAGCAGAACTGCTCCATAGTGTTTCTGAGACTGTAAATCATTACAGGAGCACATTGCTACATCGTTGCCCCATAGCGCAGCAGGTGGATTTGAACTGTCGACCTTGCAGTTAGCAGCCCAACACTTAACTCACTGGGCCTCAGGGCTCCATCCTCTACACAAGGAGCAAGTAATACAGGGTGTATACACCTGGGATCAAGAATCTCACTTTTTTTTTTTTTTTAAGGATCTCTCTTAGAAATGGTCAGTGGTATTCTAACTGTCGAAATACAATCACTTAGGTTTCACCCACAGTCAAGGAGAGATTACAACAATATGAACACTAGGGGTAGGAGATGTGTTGTTGTTGTTAAGTGCCATCAAGGTGGTTCTGGTGACTCTATATGGGGTTTCCAAGGAGCAGCTGGTGAGCTTGAACTGCCAACCTTGAGATTCAAACGGACCTTATAGTCCAATGCATTAACCCACAGCGCCACACCCCAGGATAAAGCTATATACTACACATACCTGTCTTACAGGCTTTGCTTGTTGAGAACCGTCTGGAGAGAGATGTCTAGTCCTAGCTGTCATTCCCGGAGCCCTGGTGTGGTGCTGTGGGTTAACACGCCAGAATGCAAAGCTGTTTGATACTGCAAGGTCAGCAGTTCAAGCTCACCAGTGGCGCCTCGGAAATCCTATACAGGGTCGTTATGGGTCAGAACTGACTCGACGGCACTTAACAACAACAACATCTGTCATTCCTGATGATTTGTTCTGTAATTTTGGATTCTGAGTTCAGCATCAGAGGGCTTAAGAGATCCATCTCAGGAGGTTTTCTCATTGCTTTTTGCCATAAGTCTTGGAGGTATCTCTGAGCCAAATTCATTTTCCATGCTAGTTTCCCCACTTCGGGGTTCCTAGACAACACAGATGGTATCAGTTGGGTGGACAAATTCCAACAGGGCTGAAAATGCAAACAAACATCTCAAGAGGAATTTTTCTTCCACCTCGAGTTCAAATTTCTTCTGGAGAATTTTTTCCTAATCTATACTTTCCCTTAAATGTGTTGCTTATCTATGGTCCCAACTTTATGTAGGTTTTAATACCAACTTCCTGCTTTGTGAAGGCTCACAGCCTCCAGCCTGGCCCCTGTGTAGTAGAACAAGTTTAATGAAAATGCAACGAAGTGTAATATATTTAATGAAAACTCAAGTCATTGGTTTCAGAGACCCAGACGCCTCCTCCCCCAGGCCACCCCACATCCCACGCAGCTGTGCCTCTTCTGGCTACTCTAATTTTCAGTTCCTTCTTCATTTTTGGCCCTGGGGAAACTTGGTCATTTTCTTGAGAGCTCAGCTATATATTTAAAAAGGAAGTTTGTTTAGCTATATATTTAAAAGGCAGTTTGTTGTATTTCATCCAGCATTTCTAGATGTTTTTCAAGAAGGAGATTTTTCTAGGTTACCTAATCTGTTATTAAGGAGCTCTGGTAGTGTAGTTGTTATGAGTTGGGCTGATAACCTCAAGGTTAGCAGTTTGAAACTACCAGCCATGCAATGAGTGAAAGATGAGGCTTTCTGCTCCTGTAAAGATTTACAGCCTCGGGAACCCTACACAGGGTAGCTAAGAGTTGAAACCGACTCGGTGGCACACAACCATCACCACCACCAATCTGTTATTAGGAGTCCTGGTGTGGTGCTGTGGGTTAATGTGCTAGACTGCAAAGTTGGTTTGAACTGAAAGGTCAGTGGATCAAGTTTACCAGCTGCTCCTCTGAAACCCTATACATGGTCACTATGAGTCGGAACTGACTTGACAGTACTTAACAACAATCTCCTATTAAGGACTCCTGGAAACATAGTGGGGTACTCATTGGGCTGCTAATCCAAGATCAGTAGTTTGAATCCACCCGTAGCTCTGAGGGAGAAAGATGAGGCTTTCTGCTCTTGTAAAGATATACCGTAAAGACTTATACAGGGTGATTATGAGTTAGAACCAACTCGGCACACAGTAGTAGCAGCAGAAATCTGCTGATGGGAATTCAACAATGCTTAAAATCTCTGACTGTACATGCTTGGAATCACATAATTTATAAATCTCCCAAGAGTAGACTGACGAAATCAGAGTTGCTTTGAAGGACAAGGAGGGGGACCAGTTGCAACCTCCAGGACACGAGTGTGATTGTCCAGGTGCCTTCCTCATCCTTGCCTGCTGAGGCTGCAACCAGACCCTCACACATGACCCCTGCCCCGTGCTCAGTTGCACATTATCTGAGTGTCTGGTTGCCCAGTTCCTACTGGACTCCAGCCACAAGGATATCACCGTATCTGCCTTGAGCTAGCCTTCTCCAAATGCTAATTGGGAACTAGAGCCGCAAGCCCCAGGCAGGCCACGTGATCATTTTGGGTCTGCTTGCCCATGAGAGTCTGCTTCCGGTCTGCATGGAGCCCGAAACCTGCCAAATATAGCTGGTAACTGACCTCTTAGGAGTCATAAGCCATAGATTGAGTCACCCTCCCTAGAACTGGCCCCAGAAAGGATGCAACCAGTCTACTGGGCAAAGAAGATGTAGGGAGAGCCGTGAGGGAATTCATCTCTGGGTGTTGCAAAGTGTTAATGAGTTATACTATGCACTGAAATGCTAGAGATTCAGGTTCACTCAGAAGTACCTTGGAAGAAAGACCTGGTAATCAACTTTATTGAAACCCATATGTCATACAGTTCTGCTCTGACGCACACGGGGTGGTCATGAGTCAGAATTGAGTCGAGAAAAACTGGCTTGGTAACATTAATGTTGTTCTTAAGTGTCGTTGGGTCAGTTCTGACTCATAGCAACCCTAAATAGGGTTTCCAAGGAGTAGCTGGTGGGTTTGAACTGCTGACCTTGCAGTTAACAGTCCAGTTCTTATCCTGCAGCACCACACCAGCTGATTCTTATGGAAGACTGGCTCTGCAAACCTATGCTAAAACTCTATCAGACAACATTCTGTTGCTATTCACAAGGTTTTCAATGACTAACCTTTCAGAAGCGACCCACCTCTCCTTCTTCCTAGTCTACCTTTATCTGGACGCTTCACTGAAACTTATCCACCACAGTGCGTGACCCTGCTGGTATTTACAATACCAGTAGCAAAGCTTCCAGCATTGCAGAAACACACAAGCCACCAAAGTATAACCAACTGATGGACAAATGGTGAGTGCTAACACAAAGGTCCCCCAATTCCTCGTTGTCTCATACTGCCCCTTACACTTAAAGAAATACCCCACAGTGCTTTGCATGAAATATTTTAGGTCCAAACTACTTCATAAGTATATAAGGTATAATGACTTAGTAATGCTCTCATTTCTTTCTCAGATAAGCACCGCTCATTACTCCTCCACTCTGTGTACCTGGCAGGTACTGAATGAGCAGCTTTAGCAGCAGAGGCCCAGGTGGGTACCACGGTCTCATTTCCTGTCCTGCGTTCATTTTCATCTTCTATCTCTGCAACCACAGGAAACTCAGGGTCTCAAAGGTAGGTGGTGAAAGGAAAGGAAAGTAGGGGGTCTAATGTTGGCATCTTTGTTTGCTCAGGTGCACAGGTGGGAAGTATTGTGTTTCCTACCAAATTTAGAAAATTTAAGCTACCCAGTTATGCCTTTGGGTTTCCTGCAGGGTGTGGGGAGGTCCCTGGACCACAGTGCTAAGGGGCCTGTACATTTGCTCCCTAACTGTACTACCAGGTATAGTAAGTGCCAGGAAGATGCACCTCAATGAAGCACCTTCCCCCCTTGCTGGAACTGTATGGGGTTGGGGCAGTTGGAGTTGGTTTGCGGTGGACTTGGGGTGTGAGTCCTCAGAGTGGGCCAGGAGTCCGACCTCCAGTCAGCCGTGAGCAGGGTGCACTGGAGACCCCGTTATCTTCCCATGACACCCTCCCTGGCTTCCCCCAGCTCTCAGCTCTCTTCCCTAAGGACAGGGAAAGGAGAACTCCAGGAGTCTTCTCGCTCCCATCAGCCTCAGTTCCGGGTGGCCATGCTAACTTCAGGCTGCAGCAGGAAGAGCAGTCACCAAGGATACCCCAAGTCCGTACTGGGCACGGGCTGACAGCGCGTCAAAGACAGTCCCTGCTGGGTTGTGGGCAGATTGTCGGGGGAAACGGCCGAGACCGCCCAAAAGGGCAGCTGACTGGGGCCTTTGGAGTTTGTCGGTCCCGGAGATCTACTAAGGCGCCCCACCCACTCTTTTCTCCACAGATCCAATGAGACCAGCTTCCCTGGGCGGGCTCAGGAAAAAGAAGGCGGGTCCTTGGAGATGGGCGGGTCCTCTAAGCTGGGACGCCCAGTGAGCAGGGGCCTGGGAACTGTTTCCCACCCTACCCTACTGGTCCTTCAGCACCCAACCCTTCCAGGGGTCCAGGACTCCCACGACAGCGCGGCCGAGCAGCTGGAAACACCCTTCACAAGCCCCCTCCGTGGCTCGGGACTCATTGAGACAACACAAAATCTCTTTATTGGTGTCTATAAAACGTCACGCGTCTTGGCGGTTTCTGGGGACAGGGCGCGCGGGGGCAGGTCTTGCGTGGTCTCAGAGTCACGGAGCCAGAACAGGTCTGCAAGTCCCACCTAGCTTGGGGACAAGCGAGGGCTGAGCGTGTGTACGGCGATGGGCCCCCCACGAGGGGACGGCAAGGGAGGCTGGCAGGTCCCGCGTCCAGGCGACCACACTCGGCCAAGCCGACTTTGTGGAAGGACCTGGGGGGCGTAGGGAGCGGTCATCTGTGTTTCCGCTGTGCTGTCTTTCGAACCCTGGACTGGCCTAGTGTCCCAGGGTCTCATCCGCCTTAAAGCGAGGGAGGGAGGGCAGCAAGGACTTCAAATTCCAGGGGACCCCTGGAGGGGCGTCTCTGAACCTGGAGGGGGTACTGAAGATGGAGCCAGAATCCGAGGGTTCTTGGGGGTCGCTTACAGCTCCTCGGGCCCGTCTCCTCCCAGCGCCTGTTCGTAGGGACAAGGCCTGCGGCAAAGGCCCACTGTCTCGGGGCCAGATCCGGGCCCCGCGGGCGGCACCTCCTCCTCCACGCGGTCCCCCAGGCGTTCTCCTTCCGCGTCGCTCTCATCCGAGTTGTCTTCCTCTAGGTAGCGGTAGCCCTGTACTTTGTGCTGGGGCCGAGGGATGCGCGGCTGGCGCGGGACCACCCCTCGCTGCAGCTTCTGCTCCATCCACAGGTAAGAGGCCACAGCCAGTACCAGAGTCACCAGCAGCACTACCAGCTTGGCCTGGTGGGCAGGGAGGCTGGTGGCAGCGCTTCCATGCACAGCAGCACCTCCCCTGCAGTCCCGCCTTTCTCCAGAAGCCTCCCCCAACCCGGTCCTCCTAGACTCCGCCTGCCAACTCCATCATACAGACAGACCCTCAGTTTCTGTTAGAGGGGACTGATAGTGCTTTGGCCTCTCAGGATCCCATAAAACGCTGCTAAAAGGAGCTCTGGTAGCGTAGTGGTTACGAATCGGGCTGCGAACCGTAAGGTCAGCGGTTCGAAACTACCAGCCGCTCCGCGGGAGAAAGATGAGGCTTTCTACTCCCGTAAAGATTTACAGCCTCGGAAACCCTGCACAGGGTCGCTATGGGTCGGAACCGACTCGATGGCACTTAACAACAACAACAAAAGTGGGCAAAAGGACTAGCCCTCCTTACCTGGGGCTAAGATTACTCTAAAAGATCCTTGAGTGGTCAAAAGGGTTTGAACAAGGACTCTGGTGGGGTGCTGTAGGGTCAACACTGGACTGCGAACCACAAGGTTGGTAGTTCGAACCCGCCAGTTGCTCCTTGAAAGGCCTATATAGGGTTGCTATAAGTCAGAACTGACTCGATACTTAACAACAAATAATCAAAAGGTGGAAGGTTCAAACCCACCTAATAATGCCGCGAAAGAAAGATCTGGTGATCTGCTTCACAAAGTTAGAAAAATAAAAACTCAGACCATTGGCATCCAGTCTACTCCAACTCACAAAGTGACCTTGTAGGGCAGAGAACTGGGGTCACATGGGGTCACCATGAATCAGACCTGACTTACCAAGGACGGGAAAAGATGACACCAGTGCACCTTACACAGGCAGAAAGAGCTACATCACAACTCAGCACACACATACATGTGTGCATGTTGATTCTGTTATTACTGTTGGGTGTCATGGGGTCAATTCCAACCCAGTCATGTGACAGAGTAGAGCTACCCACAGGGTTTTCTAGGACATAATCATTACAGAAGCAGATTGCTAGGTCTTCTGAAGAGCCACTAGGTGGGTTTGAACTATGAACCTTTCAGTTAGCAGCTAAGTGCTTAACTCGTGCACCACCAGGGCTCCTTTTTGTAAGCTTTTCTTGTTGTTATTAACTGCTGTCAAGTCTGTTCTGGCTGACAGAGACCCTGTATAGGGTTTCCAAGGAGCGGCTGGTGAGTTTGAACCACTGAGCTTGTGGTTAGCAGTCTAGCTACATCATTTTCTTTCCTGTCACTTTCATTTAAAAAAAAATGTTGTTTGGGGCTTGCTAAACTGGCCTCACTGTTTCCAGTGGAGGATAGGGGTGAGAGACTGACCTATTACTGAGAGCACTTTGCTATACACACACATACACACACACCAGGGACCGTGATGTGATCCAGTTCAGAGCATAATGTCTGAACAGGCTACCAAACAACCCACAAGGAGAGAGGAAACCCAGAACCCCTTCAGGGATGGGTAAACTGAGGCCAGCAGGATTTTAGGCAACAAGTGAACTCCTGGGTTGGGGGTAGCTCAGTGGAGTAGGAGAATGGGACCTGACTCTTAGGCAGAGATGTCCTTTGTGAGGCCTTGGGGAGACAAAAGCAGCCAGGGCAGGTGCTACCTGGTGGTAGAATTTGGGGTGCCTGATACTTAGTGTCCTTCCACCCCCTCACCTTCATGGGTAGGCTAGAGCCTAGGTACACCGCGAAGATAGCCACAGCCTGCCACCAGTGGTAGATGGTGAAGATGAAGTCCTGCCTCTCCTTGTCCTCGTACAGGATTCCCAGGAGCGCTGCAAGGGAGTGGGGGGCAGGGCAGGTGAGGAAGAGGCGTCCAGGAGCCTGTAACCCTTCTGGGCCCTGCGCGGGTCCCAGCCAAGAGCCCAGATCAAGAAAGTCCTTATTGTAAGTTGGTCCTGGCCTGCCCCCTAGTGGAGACCTTCGTTATTGAGGTTGCCCAAAGCAGCTGGCCTCTTTTGGTCCAACTGTGGCTTCAAAAGCATAAAGATGTATGTGAAGTCTTGTCCCGTCCTGACCCCAGGTGAGGACAAGAGCTCTTTCCTCTCCTCTCCAGGGAAGCCTTCTCAGGCAGAGCAGGCTGCTGGCAGCAACAGACTTTATGCAAATCAAATCAGAGGTGATGTGTGGGAGCGGTGAGTTTGTTTCTCAAAGAATCCTTTGCAGACAGCACCGTACAGGGTCAGGAAACTCCAATTCTAGTGGTCAGAACTGTAAGGTACAGAGAGCTGGGAGTCTAGAGATCCAGAGATGTGAATCCAATTCTGGTTCCCCGAGCCAGTGTTTCCATCTCACATGTTGTATAGTGAGTTCTTCATGGGAGACAGCCCACACAGCCTCCACAGACTATGTGAACGGCTGCTAACCCCCTCACCACGCACTCAGAGCATCAACACTCATCCTGTGGTGCTTCAGGGTGACTATACTACTACACAGGGCTGCTATGAAGGGACACGGAACCCCCAGTGTCCGCAAGGGACAGGAAGAACATGTGCCACAGCAAGTCTGACTTTCCCCCACCTGGTACAGCCTGGCACCAGTCCATCTGAACAGACACCGATGTTGGCCACCCACGAGACTGAGCCTGTGGATACTGGGCAGAGAGCATCAGGCAGGTGAACTCTGATGCTGCCCTTCCCCAGTGCTTCTACCCCAGCAGCCCAGACTCTGACTGGACTCCACCAGCCCAAAGACTGCCATTGGGACTTCATGTCCGCTCCTGGCTCTTTATTTACAAGGCCCATCTCTGCATGAACCCCCGCTGCTAGGCAGAGATGGGGCAGAAACTCCAAGTTTTCTTTACACATTGTCCCCACAGGGTGGTCACAGAACCTCACAATCACCTCATGTATCCACAAGACCTCACATGACCCCCAGTGTCCACAGGCTCTCTGTCCACACTAGAGTGTCCATGCCTACCTCCAAAGTGTCCACAGAACATCCATCCACCCCCAGAGTGCCCACAGACATCTTCATCTACCTCCACCGTGTCCACAGAATTCCACGTGCCCATGCTATACTCACTGCTGAGCCCGGTCTTGTTGAGGACACTGCCCACACCCCACAGGGCAGCTGCCATGTAGAGAATCCAGCTGTGCTGTAGGACCCGAGGCACAGGGGCCCAGAAGAAGAGGCCAAGAGTGAGCAGCAGGTGCAAGCCAGCCCCAGCCACCAGGGGCACGGAGCGAGGCAGACACAGCCCCAGTAGGCCCAGGACCGAGGAGGCTGAGGCGCCAAAGCTGTATGCCACCAGGAGATACGCTAGACGTTCCAGTCCCATGGAGCACACACCATAGCCCTGGAGGACAGGGGCAGGGGGTGAGTATTGGGGTCCCCTCCGTACACGAGGTGTGACCTAAGACTGCACCCTATCCCTCTGATGCTAACCCCCTCCTCCATTTGGGTTCCCATGGGACCAAAGGCTTTCTGGCACTAGCTCATTTCAACCTCACAAGCCCTCTGCTCAGAGAGGTTAAAATAACTTGTGAAGAGGGAGGAGACGATTTGGACATACTTGTATTATAGTTTATCTGGGCGTCCTGTAGTATTGTATCTGGCAGCACGTGCGGGTGTCCTTACCAGGGCGAGACCAGTGCAGACGAAGAGCACCTCGAAGCCGCTATAGATGAAGAATGGTACCAGGTGGCGCAGACGGAAGTCACGCATGTGCTTGAAGGGCAGCTGGAAGATGTTACCCCAACCCACGCTGCGCAAGTCGATCTCCTCCGTGGGGCGGTAAGCAGCGCCGCACAGGCCGAGCACCTGCAGATCCACTCGGTGAAAGGACAGACGCCCAGACCCCAGGCCCGGGACTCGAGTCCGCCTCTGAACCCTAGGCCCCGCCCCCTCAAGCACACGCTCCAATGGATTTCAGCCTTGCACCTAACCCCGCCTCTCAGCCCAAGGTTCTGCGACTAAGACACACCCCCATGATGGACCTCGGCTTTATCTTCAGCCCCGCCCCCGGGTCTCAGCCCCGCCCTTTGAGACAGGCCTCACGATGCACCATATCCTTGCCTCTTAGCCCCGCCTCTCGGCCTAAGACCCCACCTCCTAAGACCCCATCCTTGACTCCCAGCCCCGCCCCTGAGTCTACGCCTCGCCCTCAGAGCCTTAGTTCTGCCTCCCAGAGCCGCCCCCTGTTTGAGACACAATTCTAGCCTCGGTCCCCAGGTCTCCTAGGTCTCCTCCAATCCTCTGGGACCCGGTCTCCAGCTGGATCCCTGACTGACCTACAACCCCTTTGCCCAGCCTCTGGGATTCTACCTCCAGTCTCGGTCCAACCTCACTCAGTCTCCCCATTTCAAACCACACTCCCAGCCACGTCCCTGATGTAACCACGCCTCCACAACGCTGGTCACGCCCAAACTCCGCCCCCAGCCCGGCCTCACCAGCAGCATGGCCAAGAAGGCCACCGCCATGAGCACACTCTCCACTATGATGAGGTTCCGGCTCCGCGGCAGCGTCCTCAGAACCGTCTTGTTGAAGCCTCTGAGGATGCCGAGGCTGTCAGTGCCTGAGGAGGGGGTGGAGGAGGACAACGTGAGGCGGGGTGCAGAGCATATTATCACTCCCGTCACAAAGTAGAGCAAGGCAGGTGGAGGCTGGGAAGCAGTTTGATGGTTCCAGCAGCCAAGGCTGGAGGCACCCCAAGAAGGAGTGACTGATGTATCCTGCCTTCTGCACCGTCCCTTTCTCACCCAACTGCCCAGAAGTTCAGCCCACCAAGACCACCTCTGACCTCCATATATTCGTCCAGCATAGAATGCGCACCAACTGTATACCTTCCCACAGGCGGCCTCAGTACAGACGGCACCACCTCCAGGCAGCCTTCCCTGACCACCCAGGTTGGGTCAGATGTCCCAACAACGTACTTTCAAAGGGCCCTGAGCCTCACCTATCATACAGGTGGAACCCTGAATCCCCAGCCCTGGACCCTGTCAGCTAGGGCATCTCTCTGGGCCCTCCATGCCTGCTGACAATGGAATGGGGAAAGTGAGCATCCCACAAAGACTAACCACAGCTTCGCACGTTGTACAGCGTGTGGTTCAGGTCATACAGGTAGTGGTTCAGGAAGTAGACCATGGGCAGCTGGGCACAAGCGAAACTTAGCTGTGAGCAAGAGGATCACTGGGGTCAGACTCAAGGACACAGAGTCACGCTGGACAGAAATATGGTCTGGGGTGGGGATTGGACACAGCCTGGGAGGAGAAAGGGACCCATCCACCTCTGGGGAGGCGCCCAGTGGCAGTGGGGTCCCCAAAGCTGGAGAACTTCCTCCTGGTCAGCATTGTGTCCAGGTAGGTGATGAGGTCTCTGTTGCCAGGGGACAGCAAGCAGGGGTTGGCTTGAGAAAGGAAGATGGGGCCAGAGGGCTGAGAAGCCTATGGAATGGGTTCCACTTTTTGGGTCCTGGGCCTAGTATTCCACTCTACCCCCAACGACCCTGTGGGGCACTTACATGGAAGAAGCCGTAGAAAATGACTTGGAAGACCAGGAGATAGGGCGCGTGGGAGCCTCGTGGTGGACGCTTCTGAGGCTCCTGCTCTTCCTGCTCCTTGTAATGGGAGTACTCGTAATACTTCTGTGCCATCCTGGGCCATAAAGCAGAGAAGGCTGTCCCCAGCCCCACCGCTGCCAGAGCCCTTCCATGTCTGCACCCAGAGCTGCTGTCCCATACCTCACACGTAGAGAAACTGAGACCCAAAGGATAAAAGAGGCTTGCCCAAGGCTCCCGGGATGGTTTCCATCCTTCCTTCTCACCTAGTGATGTAGTTGCCCATGGATGTCCAAAGTGGCACAATGGCCATGCCCAAGGTGACAGCCGAGGGTACGAGTGTGTAGTAGCGCTCCCAGTAGTTGGTGGAGACAAAAAGGGCATAGATGCCCACCGCCAGGAACATCATCCACTTGGTGCCAAAAAACCTGTGGGCAGCAGGAGAGATGCTGGCACTGTGGGACACCTGGGCAGTTCTGGGCTCTAACCAGACATAACCACTTCAGGGTATAGGTCACTAGGCCACAGAACCTCAGAGTCAAGGGCTCTCTCAGCAGGTATGGGCTTGCTATGCGGCCTCAGACAGGAACCCTGGTATTTCAATGGTTCAGTACTCGGCTGCTAACCCAAAGGTCAGTGGTCCAAACCCCACAGGGACTCAGAGGAAACGGCTGTGGTCATCTTCTTTCATCAAGATGGCAGCCTTGGAAAAGCTAGGGGCCAGCTCTATTCCGTCTTATAGGGACATTGAATTACAACAGACTCAATAGCATTGAGCTTCATTTGTTTTCTTAGTAGGGCCTCAGGTAAACCATTCTGTGCCACATACCTATAGCCACAGGGGCCTCCAATGACCATTCCAAGAATGGAAGGAGATAAGGATTGTGGGTTTCACAAGTCAGAGATCTATGGGCAAATCCAGCCTCATTTCTGTTCTGGCTTCTCTGATCCCCCTTCCCTATCCAAGCTCATGTTCTGCGGCTGAGGGTCCAGAGACATGTCCCTAAGGGACTTGAAACAGGCTAGGTCATGGAGATTCAACACAGAGGCCCCACTGCCAGTGAGCAGCAGCATTAGGCCCCTGGCCCCTCTGCCTCTCTGTCCAGTACTCCTGTAGTCTAAGTCAACCAGGATTCTCCTCCTCACTGGCTCCTCGGGGATAATGAGTGAATGGGATATGGACTCAATCCGTGGATGGAAACCAATATAACTAGAGCACGTGTACGTCTTCCTTTCTCTGCCTTGGCTTCCAGGAAGCTCAAAGTGCAATGACTCTTGCTTTCTATTACAACAATCTCTTCTATTACAGAATCCTGGTTCTTTTCTCCTGTATTTTCCCATATAATATGCAGAGCAGCAGTCCCCTCCTAGACTTTGAGAGGGGGCAAGAGTTCACAAATAATTGCGCTGTACATTTTGATGTATTAATGCAGCACAAAGTGAAAATACCAATGCTCATTGCTGACAATGCAATTTTTAAAATGACACACACACACACACTGCCAGGGCCCATGCAAACTGGCATAACCCTGTTGTTTAGGCAGACGTTGTGTATATAGGTTTTAAAGTCACTGTCCCTGAGGCCATTATTACTGGTGGGTCTTGAACAATTTATTTAGCCTCTTGTTTTCTTCATGTATAGCACCTACCTCAAATTGTTGGGGATAACATAACGCATAAGAAACAAAATAAGGTTTAACTATAATCATTAATCCACACCACTGGACCAATAAACAACATTCTTATCAACGAAGAAAAGATTGAAGTTGTCAAGGACTTCATTCTTCTTGGATCAACTATCAACACTCATG